AGTATATATATAAATAAATAACTATAAAAATATAAATCGTAAATATTAAAAATATTTTTTCACAATATATATATAATATATATAATAATAGAATTAAGTCAAAAACTATTCAATATTGGACTCATTTCGAATGTATTAACGAGACGATTATAATGGTGTAACTTGTTAAAATAAAAATGTATTTTATAAATATGTTTTAATTGATATACGATTATGTATGTTAATTTGATAAATGTTTAAAATGAAACATTTAAAAGTAAATGACATAAAGTAAATTAATTAATTAATTATAGGGGTATAAAGTGTAAGTTTAAAATTATAATTTTAAAAAAATTGGTTATGAGAATGAGAGTGTACTGAAGAGATGAGGTGGTGAAAAAGTGAATAAGTGAGTATAAAAGGTATTTTGGTCATTTATAATTTTAAGACTTTAAGACTTTTGCTAAATTTGCTTTATAAGATAGTATAGATCAGGAATAAAAATGTTAATATCAATTTTATATAAAAATAAGAAATTATACTTGAATAAATAAAAAGTTGTAATCCTACGCATTAAGAATAACTAGAAGGGTACTCGTGTAATGTATCGAGACATATTTTGATTTTAGTGTTTCGTTTTATTCTTTTTTTATATCGATATAATATAGTTTATGTGGTTTTGAGAAAACAATATTTTTGAATAAAATATAAATTTGAAAATATCATAAAGTTTTGGAAAAAAAAATATATATATATATATATATATATATCGATATCAATATCAAATTAATCTTTTTAAAAGTTCTTGTATTTCGGTGTAATTTCCTTGATTCAATTTTTTTAATTATAATTTGATTTAGGTTTAGTAACAAATAATTTTTAATTTAAGTTTAACAATAAATTTTTTTATAAATATAATAACTAAGTATTCTGTTAGAACTCAATGATTATCCTAATTATATTATATATTTTTTATATTTAAAATAATATGTTTATCCAATATATTTGATTATGTTTATCTGCAGTTATTTACACGAATTCAAATATGAAGCTTTAATAAGATGTATTTATGCACAATTTACTTGTAATCTTAAATTTCAAATAACATGTATCAATAAACACTACTTCGTACATAAAAAAATTAAGAGTTTTTGTCAAATGCTTTATAATATAGTATAGATTTGTAAAAAGATCACAAAATGTATACATTAAATTTTAATCATGTATCGATCTTATCGATTTGTATCACAAAAAATGAAAACAATCTGATTTGTCTTCTATTTTATTTAGTAGGGGGTTCACAACATGAAAGTTGATAGGTTTGTGTTATTTGGTCTTTGGTCAATGATTCTATTATTTGTTCCAGAGCCTCTGTTTGCATAAAACAATCACATATATGTTATATGTGTGTTTGTGTGTTTTAAAGAGTTTGTGTGTTATGTGTGTGTGTGTGTATTTTAGCTGTATGTCAATGGAGAAATTTATATTTTGATTCACTCTGCTTGATTAAATAAGAGCTAGAGAAGGTGAGGTGAAAATAGACAAATCTAGGTTTTGCTTCACTTTGCTTTGTTTCAAGTGCGCGTAAATGGAGAAGTGCATATAGGTGTCGTGGAGTCATTGGAGATCGATATGATTTTGTTGTCCCAAAATCACACATTTCGTTCCTATATGAAATTAAGACAACTTGGCTTTTTATATGTTTTAAATTTATTTTATTCAAATTCATATTTTCTATTATGATGTGTATTCACATGATTGGTGGACATGAATGAAGTACGAGACTTTTGTACATGTGATTTTATCCTTTGAAGACATAGGAAAGAGAGAAAATAAACTATTCATTTATGACAAAAAAAATCTTTTATTTATTCAAAAAAATGTTCAAGAACTTAATCGTTTAAATGAAAAAAGTTTAATAGTTTTTTTATTTAAAAAATAATTCAGGTATTTAATAATTCAAAATGAGAAAAGTTTAATGATTTTTTCGTTCAAATTTTTATAAACTGAATCATTTAAAATAGAAAAGTTGGTTGTTGTTTTTTTTAAACTTTTTTCATTTCAAAATTAAAAATGATATAACTCCTCTTTTATTAATGATGATAGGTTTTATTGTCAATAATATATTTAAATTTCATTATTGTATTTTAATTTATTTTAAATGTCAGAGTAAACTACAAATTTGGCCCTTATGGGTTGTCGGTTATAACATTTTTCGTCTTTATTATTTCACTTATAAAATAAAAAACTAACTTTTTTTAATATGTGACTGTTTTGTTTCTTGTTTGTAAAAAAATTGTAACACCTTTATTTGATGTCAAATATATATATATATATATATATATATATATTAATATTTTTTTAAAAAATGCTAACGAAATATATTGTGATGTATAACATATTCTTGAATAATTTAGAATTGTTTTAGTTGATTTAATATAGTTATTGAATAATACGTGAAGTTAGAGTTTTTAAAAGCAAAATACTTCAATAATAAATGTCATGTCATATATTTCCTCATTTCCTTCTTGTTTTATGTTTTTTAATGCTATTGTATTTCAAAGAGAATATTATGTCAGTAATATGTTACATATGAAAATTCCACTTGAACAATGACATGGCATGAATATTTAGGTGGTGTTTGATTTTTATAATGTTTTTCCGATGAAATAGAATTTGTCAAATGAATTTAAATCTGGCTTTGAAAGAATTAGAATATAATGTTGTTAAGTTTGACCACTTGTTTAGTTGGTAGATATTGGAATGAAATTTATTAAGGAATTAAAATATGCATGTTTGGTTCACATAATATAGCTTTGTAATTAGAATGAAATATTGACAAATGACTTTTTATGAAAAAGTTGAAACCGAAATCCAACTACTGTGGTTCAGATTGGTGGTGGTCGTTATGGTTTAGATTGGCGGTGATCGATGGTGGTTCAGATCGGTGGTGGTACGCGATGGTTTAGATTGACGATGGTCGGTGGTGGTTTAGGTCGACGATGGTTCAGATCGGTGGTGGGCAATGGTGGTTCAAATCAGTGGTGGTCCGTGGTAGTTCAGATCCGTGGTGGTTCAGATCGACGGTGGTCGGTGGTGGCTTAGGTAAACAGTGGTTCAAATCGGTGGTGGTCGACTGGTCGGTACTCGGTAGTGGTTCAGATCGATGGTGGTCGGCGATGGTTCAGATCGGTAATGGTTACCGGTGGTTCATATTGGTAGTGGTCGACAGTGATTCAGATCATTGGTGATTGGCAGTGGTTCAGATCGATTGTGGTCGGCTATGGTTCAGATCGGTGATGGTTTAGCTCAAGTAGGGAGGATTAGGCTATATTAGGTTTTATTTGATTAGGGTATATTGAATTAAAGGTATATTTGGTATTATGAAAATATATTAATTCTATTTCATTAAAATACCATGATGTTACTAAAGAAATTTGAAATCATTTATTTGATGGATTTGAAGATTCCTTTCCCTAAAAAAAAACCAAACGAAAAAAAGAAATTTGATCAAATGAATTCAACATTCTAATTCCATTAGATTTCTTCACAATCTACAAACCAAACACCATATTAATCACTTATTCCATATTATCTTAATTCAAATCAAAATGTTACTCATTACTATAATATGTAAAAATTTAAAATAAAAACCAATTTAAAATAGACTCCTCTAATAAAATAAAATAAAATTACAATACTGTTTCATGTATAAGTTCTATATTAAATTTTGTATAAGATATTGCCTTCAATTTTGTTATCAGCTTACAATTAGGGCTGTAAACGAACCGAACGAACACGAACGGAGGCTTGTTCGTGTTTGTTCGTTTAACTTAACCGAACAAACGAACGAACACGAACGGTAAATGAACGAAAATAATTGTGTTCATGTTCGTTCGTTTAAAAATCCGATGTGTTCGTGTTCGTTTATGTTCGTTCGTTAACAAGTTAAACGAACGTAAACGAACGAACATAAACGAACAGGCCTAACGAACATAAACGAACATAAAAGAACGTAAACGAACATGCCTAAATGAACATAAACGAACATGCCTAAATGAACATAAACAAACGAACACCCTCTTAAAAGCCCAATACTTAAAAAGATTTTAAATTTTGAATTCAAACTAAATAAATAAAAATTATATATTAAAATGAATACATAAACGAACATAAACGAACGAACGTTCACGAACATAAATGAACGAACGAGGCTCATGTTCATGTTCGTTCGTTTAACTAAACGAACAAATTTTTTTGTTTATGTTCGTTCATTTATTAAATAAACGAACATAAACAAACTTCCCGCCGAACAGTTTACGAACGGTTCGCTGAGCGTTCGATTCGTTTACAGCCCTACTTACAATTAAATTTTGCATCAATTATATCTAAAACTAAAAGTAACCAGTAAATCAATTAACGATAAAATTAAATAAATCGTTAACTCAAACTCTTTCATCCATTCTAAAAGACACCGAACACCAACACCAACACCATTTCTCTTCGCTCATCGAGACATCTCGCCACCATGGCTCCCGGTTCTCAGGCAGCCGTAGATGTCCCGGCCGGCAGATCCGGCGGGAAGATATTGAAAGCGAGGAGAATTGCTGTTAGGAAGACTCCATACGACCGTCCAATTTCGCATCAGCCTCAGCCTCAGCCTCCACTTCTGCAACCAGAAAGCCCTAGTTGGATCAGTGGACTTGTTTTTCCTGCCAAATTTGTTGCTGGCGGTGCGAGTAAAATTTTATCTTCATTCTGGAACCCTAAGAGTTGGAGCGCGCCTTCCTCTTCTTCTACAGACAGTGATTCTGAGTCCGGTAGATGATCTTATTTTGTCTTTTAGTTTAGTGTGTTTTAGTTAAATGCCTTGTTTCTTGTGTGATTGTTCCTAATAGGAGTTCTTTTTAGCTAATTCACAGTATTTATCCTTAAATCATTCTGAATTTAGAAAACAGTCATAATGGTACGGAGGGAATGCTATTTGTCACTGGTTACGAATGCATTGTGTTCTTTTTTAGTATCCGTGTATGTCATACAAACAGTTGCGCTAGGGTTTATTTTTAATAGAATTTGATAACACATTTCTTGGAGAAGCTTTTATCAAAGTTCATTTTGTGAAGAGGAAGAAGAAAAAACAAAGGTTATAGAGAAGAAACATTTTCTACTGTTTATTTGATGGATACCATATTTCCATACTCCTTTGCATCTTTATTAGCATCTGGATCACCTTTATCTTTCATAGGAACGGGGTATTGTATTATTGATTATAAATTTAGAGGGAGGCGATTATTATGATCTATGTGTGTTGCACTGGCATGCTTCTTTCTAGTGAATATAGTAAAAAGGAAAACTAAATGATGAATTTAGCAAATGTACAAGTAGCAAGAATTAAGCTTTTCTAAATCAGTCCAATGTGCTTTTTATATTTGAAAATAGAATAAGAATAGTCTAGTTGGGTATATGCAGTATACAACATTATTTCTAGTTGCCTTTGTATATGCATGTTTGGTTCCCTGGTTCTCCAAATCCCTATATTCACTAGGTTACATGTTGTTTCATGAACTCAAAAAGGAAGCTTAGGTGGTTTTAGAAAAGCAAAATAGAAAAGACAAAAAAGATAATACAAGTCTTCATAGTCTACGTTTTGTTTGTGTATGGACTCTATATTTTGTTTGTTTTTATGTCAAATTTGACACTCTTTCAACTCCTAATTTAGCATAGGTTGTCATTTTGAGATGTGTTATCCAAGTTGAAACAACTGATTGTAACTTCGAATTTGGTCATCAGTAATGGCAGTATGAGGATGCCCTTCACTCACAACTCCCTCGTCCAAGGCAATTGATTTTATTTCCTCTTTAGATATCAGTCAACTATCCTCTTTGACAACAAGCTCTATGTCACCAAACGAAGTTTCCCACCAAACAGTGACTGTCGTTCACGGCACACGCGATGACATAATCCCTGAACTTACGCTCAAACCGGTCCAACCCCTGAACAATATATCATTGCTGGTAACGGCTATTCATCGACCTTTCTAGTCAAAGTCAACAACGACAGTGTTTTTCTAATTTCAGATCCTGCTAAAAAGCACCTCCATCAACCATCCATAGGTCTTTCGAAGTACGATATGTTGCACCAAACTGCCACCACTAGCTTAAATACCAACCCTGCTCACAAAACTTATCTTCATTGGTATCTAAAGCCCAAGGCTTATTTGACTCTTTGTGATATTGGTGACACCTCTGTTTTACTCCCTCACCTTCATCTTGATTTAAGCCTTGGTTTACGTAATTGTTGGGTTGTTTTCCAAGTGGTGCTTCTATGTTTCTATGTAGTCATGTGTTTTGTTGGTACAACATAACGTTTTGTGGTCCAGCTCAATTTCTGGGATCACAGGTGTTAGGTATTTTTGGTTTGTTGGCGAGTCTAGTGACCTCATCTTGACTATGAGCTATTTTGGGGTTGGTGCTGGAGGATAATTTATTTTGAAATCTCAATTAACCATTGGATCATATTATGTATTTGAAATGATTTAAGCCCATAAAAATGGATGCTATACTAGATTTGAGAAATTAGAAGAAACTGGAATAATACCGTTTCAATGATCTGGAAACTTTGATTTGAATGTTTGGGTAATTCATTAATCTGATTTTGTTCCTACCTACCATCTTTTGCAGAAGACGATTCTGAAGATAATGAAAACCCTCCTGACAGGGTAATTGAGTTGAATCAGGTAATTGCTCAATTCTTCTTTCTCATAATTTGTTCCATGCATAGTGATGACTTCTGACTGTAGACTAATTGTTACATGAACTTGATAATTGAAAATAGTTGCATATGCTCTCTTGTAAATATAGTTGAAAGTTGTTAGATGACAAGGAACATAGCCTAGTTCCAGGGCGCAAACACCTATTCGCAAGTATACGATGCCAACAAGTAATATAGTTCTAAGAACCCGGTATCATATTCATAGCGACTATTTTATCCTTTGGATTGTTAACTTCAGTGAGGGAAGTTTAATTAATCAAATATGGGGGAGGACATATTAACAGCTAAACTGCAGAACTGTAAAGCTAATCTAACTATTAAATAAGACAAGGATCACTTAAGCGGTCTTAAGCAAGGATTATAGAACAATGTTGGTTGATACTTGACTAAAAAATTACAACTGTCACTGTCACTTGCATATTCTTTTAGCAAGTGTTTCAAGGCAATGAAGAGTCAAGAGGAAACCTGATTGCATGCTCTTGTTTGCTATGAATCTTTTTGTGTAACACTAAAGTTTTAACTGTAATTTTTACAGCAGCAGAAAGGCCATCTGTCTCAGAAAAGTGAAACTTTGCATTTAGTTGAGCAGCTACTTATGCTTGAACAATATTCAAGGTATCTTTTGGTCAATTTATTTTACAATTACTTTTTGATAACATTTGTCATATATTTTTGGTTTATTCTATTTTATTCTATACAGCCTTTATTGAATTGGATGATCTTGTATGATCGTGCTGCTTTCCATCCCTCTTTTTCTTCATTGTATATGATTTTTTCATAAGTTCATGCACATTTGGTGTACTACATTTAGGTATTGATACTACAATCATTGTTTTGTCTTTCAGTTTTGGCTTGGAGTTCATTGTACTCATAGAAACTTTATCATTAATACCTTCATAGTATTGTCTCAGATCTAGAAACCCATGGTGGTTTTCATAGATACTGCAGCCTGGTTGGTATGTATAATTAATATATTTTGCTTGTTAATGGAAAATTACATACCATTTAGTTATTAAGTAATGAGAAATGTAACATGTTACTATCTGTTCCACATTAAGTTGTCATCTCTCCTCTGGATTTACCATCTCTCTTCTGTTCCACATTAAGTTGCCATCTCTCCTTTTTGATTGATCTAAAAAAATGTTACTTGCAGTATTCAAACAAACTGAGAGTTGAGAGCAGGACACCTGCACCTTAATATGGGCTTTCTGCATTTCCAAATGTCAAATGCACTGTTCTAAATTTACTGAAATGTTCAATATTATTGGCACTATAAGGTAGGAATGAGGGATAGGAATGACAATCCTAAATTTGCCATATTATTTAATATTATTGGACTATAGATGCCTCAGTACCACTGATTTGACCTTCCCTTATTTCCACATTGATGGAGGACAGGCAAATGTGTTCCCAGTTTATTTGATGGCTTAATTACTCAGGGATATTTTTAATATTTGTTACAGGGAAGAGTGTGATAGACTAATAGAGATTATCAATTCACGAGTTGTAGATTACTCCATGAGAGAGGGTGTGGATGCTGGACCAAGTATGACCCATGGCTGGACTAACAATGGTATATCCAGGAATACCTGTAACATGTATCTCTGCTAAACTTTCTTGAATATGGACATATGATATTTTTTTATGGTAAATCATAAACAGAGACTCCTGATAGCCGCAGCCAAGCTATCCTGGAAGCAAAAAAGTGGGTAGCAGAGAAGAAATTTAGATCTGGTTCCAAGTCGGACTTGGACAATGGACTCTATGCTCTCAAATCTGTTACAACACCTCAGGTTAGGCTTTCACTTGTCTGATTTGATCTATAACTTCTTATGCACATCTTCTTTTGCATCATTGCATGTGTATATTCTTTTTTCTGATGCACCGAGTCTTGATATCCCATTTTTGGAGTTGTGAGACATGCTCAAAAAGTGCAGTGAGCATCGAACTGTCCTGCAGGCAGGTGTATATACGTAGGGTGGGAGTACAATAATGTCTTTTTATTACGCTTTTAAAAAATGATTTTGCTTGGGGGGATCCTTTACACTGTAAATTTGTATGTGTGGGAGGAAGATAGAAGATACAGTGACCTCTTATGTAATGCAGCTTAATTTTTTGATTTTGATTTGCAAAATTACACATGGCCGAAACAGTGCAGGGAACAAATAGTTGGTTTTGTATATGCAATCTTTGAATTGTATAAAATTATGATCTGAAAACCTTTTTTGTTATGTATTTGGGTTAGGTTTTTTTATGGAAAATAGAATCTAACAAGATCTGTTCCATTTTGAATTATAGGATTAGTTACTTGAGGTTGTGTCTAAATCAATATTAGGGTAAGTGATTAGACCTTCTATTTTGTTTTCAATATTAGGGTAAGTGATTAGACCTTCTATTTTGTTTTCAAAATACATTATGCGAATCTATATCTATTTTTGAACTTGTGCATTGATTAATGTTTTGAAAGTGTACTTGCAAGAATTTGATGCTTTTGTTTTAAGTGAATTTTGTATGAAGCATATGATATAGTTTTCCAAATTTGGATCAAGTTACGTTTCAAGAAAATAATTTTTGGAATCCTTCTTCTATAAGATGCAAGTACCATCAATCCATAATCATTTGATTACTTGAAAATTCAGTTTCATATTTCATGGTGGCATAGTCCCAAGTCCCAAAATTCTTTTTCTTTACGCATCTCCAGATTCAAAATACATTCCAAATCTTTCACTCAGAAAATGTGGTTTTACGTTCTGATAATTGTTGGTTTCAAAGCATATGCAAATTCTTTTATCTTAAAAATGCTTTGTGCATTTCGTAATTGAAGGTTTGAACACAAAATTTCATTTTGATGACCCATCCGGTGGTATATGCCAATGACTCAATTTTTTGTTGTTTTAATCGACCATGGTCACACTATGCCAGTGACACAACATACAGTGATGCAGCTCAAAAATCATGATATGCTAATAATGCATCATCAGAATATCATGCTATGCAACTGATGTGGAATGACAACATCACACTATGCCAGTGATGCGGCATCTGAATTCCACATAATCCGGTATCATGATGTCACTCTATGCCGGTGATGAGGCATCCAAATGTCACACTTACCTGGTGATGTGCTACCTCAGTATCATAACATCATACTAACGGTGTTGCAGCATTAGAATGTCACACATGTGAGTGACTTGGCTCAAAAGAAGTCATTATGTAATTAAAGGCTTTCTGAAATTGTCCTTACTTGTCAATGTTTAAAAACACATGCATATCAATTTTTTAAGCATATAACCTTCTTCACTCCTTTTAATGATCCTCTAAATACACTTATATATGTATGTGTGATTATGCATGTGTGATTATGCATTTTATGGTATGTGTATCACGTGTATGTGTATATGTTTGAACTCCTTGTAACTCATGCATTTCACTTTGATGATGCACATGCTCCATGCCTAGGCTGTAGACCTTTGGGCCTTGCACATTGAATAGCATTGAACATAAGGGATTTGCTGTTCACACCTTGTTCAGATGACTCCTTGATACATTCTGTTGTGATTTCTCTGGAGGAATGTAACAGCCAACATTCAAGTTCTTGGTTTATAAAAAGTTTAAGGGCCAGAAGAAAATATATGCTTGGTCACAAGACTATAATTGCATAGGTATTGAGGACAAAGGGAAAGTTATCTAGTTGTTTTGTCAATACTAACACGTGACATGTTACCCACTTGCTGTAATACTCCATGACTTGTACTAAATCAACACATTGCTTCTATGCATGAAATCAAATTACACCAATTATGTGGTGTAGTGTTGCAGCTTGTTTATTTCTAACTAGAAGACAAGTTCAACGATTATGTGCATTTTTCCATTTGCTAGTTGTAAAAAATGGCTCAAGCACAATTAGTAGTCAGTTGAGCCATTTCTTTGTTTTATTCAGCCTACTGAAGGGGAAGCAGGCTCACCGGTTGATGTGGCTAAATCATATATGCGAGCTCGTCCTCCATGGGCATCTCCCATTAATCATAACAATTCACTAAGCCCATCACCATTGGCAGCAGATTTATTCAAGGAAGGAACACTATATTCGTCCGGTGGTGGAATATCTTTCTCATCAGCAAAGGTGATAATCTCGATGCATCACAATTTCTTATTAAATCAGTAAATTATCGTTGTATTTTTCCTTTTTCTTGCCTTGCTATGATTCTAAGAACCGAAGCATTGCTATAATTATGTTTTCATTTAAGTCCTGGTATTAACTGTGATAGTGTAATCTGTTGACAATTTCACACATTTCTTCTTCAGGAGCCCTTTGTAGGATGTCACTGTTCCTAAAATGAATACATTATATACCTTTCAGTACCACTTTCAGTGTTCCTAAATAAACACGCTCTATACCTTTCAGTGCCACTGTCAGTATCCAAGAAAAATATGTTACCTTGACAATCATAACCTTTTTAGGAGGTCATAAAGTAGATGTAAGGTTTGTAAAGCACGAAGGGACACCAGAGAGAATTTCTTCTAGGAGGTTTAACTCCAATAAGTAACAAAGAAATCACTTAGATTGTTGGAGTTCATGCGAACAGATAGAAAAAGCGTGGGGAGAAAAGGGATGTATCAAAACAATAAGGAATTTTGAAGATGCAGAATTTCGGGGAGTCATAAAAGAAGAGAAGAAGGTGTCATCTGATCTTAACAAGGTTCAGTGTGAAGGAATTTCAAACCGGAAAATCTGCAACACTTTTGTGGAATTTTTCATATTTCATTTCCGACATAGGTGATGCAATCTTTGTTTTCAGTTTTCAGTTTTAGTATTTAGGTTCTTTAACTTGGTGGTGGGCTTTGTCGGTCCCTTTTTTCTTTGTTTTTTTCTCCCGGTGGATTTTGTTTTCTTGGTTGTTCAACCCTTTGGTTGTTTCACTCTGATAAGCGTTTTTGCCATTTCAGGAAAAAATCTTTTTTGCTCAGGACTATTCATTTTTAATAATGATATAAAGTTTCTTGTCTTTCATGTCCGAGGTGACTTCATTTTTTGTAGTCTTTGCATAGAATCCCCATTCTTCTCTTGCATTTTACAAATTTGCCTTTCGGTGACTTTCATTGTTTAGGTGTGCATGTAATCGAGGCAGTGCCTAGTATGGGGCAAGATTGCACTAGTTAAGCACAATGAGACATAAGCTATGTGATTCTGTGGTGGATTCAGTGTCCAAGCTCTTGGTGAGCGTCACTGATGGTTAGGATTCCATGATAGGTTTTTATTGAACTCATTTTTGATACTACAAGTGTTGATACCAGAAAGATATCAAGTTGTAATTAATGAAACAGATGCCGGAGTTCGATTTGATGCATCATGTTTGCGTCATAACACTCATGATTAATCGTACTCTAATTGACGTGAACTCGGATTTAGCTTCTGTAATTATCATTTTGTTTCCATTCATTGGATCAAGTTTTTGTTGCTTTGACTTTACAACGAAGTTTGCTATTTCTTGAAAAAAAGTTTACAATCTGATAATCAATGTTTGGTTGGAAAATGATGATGGTTGTAGGAATTACCAATCTACAGTTTCATAAATTAGTTGAGTTAGCAAGCACCAGTTTCAGGACCGATAATCACCCTAGCTAAATTTTCTTATGGTTTCTATATTGGTTATAATGAGATTACTTTTCACCCTGGTTTAGAAGCATTTCACTCATGGCATCTATTCCAGCTAACTAATGTATTTTTGCATGCACAGTGTTTGTATACTTTTTCACAGTTCTCTGAATCTTGTATATTGTTGCTTATCTCTTTATCTAGCAAAAACCTACTCCTTTTGGCCCTAAAAAATGTAACATCTGATTTGACATGTAGTTTCATGAGAACCTTTGTGACTTTGTCTAATAATCAAATACTTAAAATGCCCCTTAATAAGACAATTGAGAAAACCCATGGACCAAAATCAATGTCATCAATGATGTTGTGATGCTCGTTAACGAGCAAATACGAATTTTACTTGAAAAAGGAAAGTTGCATTTTTTTTGGGGGGGGGGGGGGAAGGAAGTATTTTTTAAGATGAGAGGTTGTTTGGTTGGTTTTCCATCAAGTCTTGTATGGATAAAGCTATCTGTGTGGATTAATCTGTTTGTAGGGTTTGTAAAGGTTTTTGTTTGGGAGTGCTTTTCCATAGATGGAAGGAGCATGTTTTTAACTGGGAGGGGCAGGGTTGGAGAAAAAACTTGGCTTTCTGCATAAAGCTTCCCCTATAAACCTACTGAATAAGCCACTTTCTATATCATCAAGCCACTACCAAAAGAGTCATATAGCTTACTGAATAAGCTGCGAGTCTCATTAAGCTGCTAACAAACAGGCCCTAAGTTACTGTAGAAGGTTACTTTCAACACTTTCCTCTTCTAGCCAAATTCTAGCTTTCTCTTGATTTCTTGATTTTTTTCAATGCTACAGAGGGATTATCTTTCTGCTGGATCATGGAACATTCAGGATGAAATTCGCAGGCTGCGCTCCAAAGCAACTGAAGATATGCTAAGCAGCAATCGATCCTTGAAACTTGCATCATCCATGCTAGAACATGATACACTAAAACACTCCTTACCAAATGACAAGTCCTTAGAAAGAGACGAGCCAATCACTTTGGAAACACTAAAATCAGTGGATGAAATTGTGAATCTAGCTGCGGAAGAGGGTACTGTTGGTCTCTCAGGTTGGTGTCCTTGCCTTGTGCTTTCAAATTATTCCAATTTGTTGTTTGTGAAAATGTGGGCAATATAGTACATGTTTCTAATTTCTGAAATATATATTAATTAAAATGGCCCCATCCCTCCCTTTCTGTTCATTTTACCGTCAGACATGAGGACTACTCAAATTGATTTACCAACCGAAACCTTGCCTACAATGCCAATTCTGGAGCAATATCAGGTATGCAATGGCAACAAAGTATACTAATCAAATTCACCCTTATTATAGTACTCTCTTCATCTCATAAGGGTTGGAAATTTTCCATTTTGGCTGTTTGATACTAACTGCAACGGTTCATTCTACAGTAATCTTTTAAGCTAAATTGAATAATTCCCCCCTCAAGTTGAAAACTGAATTTTAAATGCTTATTCTCTATTTTTGTCATGATGGGCATTTTGGACATTTGAATAACAAATGAATACTTTTATCTATATATGTAGAGTCGAGTGTTGCAGTGGTCATGGGATGAAGGGAGTACATTGATATAATGCTAATTGTACTTTTGGAATATCCTTATTATATTTCTTTAACCGGTGATTGATGCTTGCTTCATCCCACTATAAATGTTCACAATGAAAAAGGGGTACAGTTTTAGAAATCTGTAATTGTTACCCTCTTAGTTAAATGACAATTTTACTCTTCATGATAAAAGGAGTAATGAATTTCTCCATCTTATAATTAAGGGTAGAATTGGAAAGTAGACACTTACTTTTGAAAGTACACATTTATTTTGGGAGTCGGGACAAACTAAAATAGAAATGTGGACATTTATTTTGGGACAGAGGGAGTAGTTCATGTACTTGTTGATTATTATTTGATGACTTTTGGTTGTTAGACGAAGGGTACGGACTCCATTGAGATGTTAGATGGACAAGATGCTGCCGCTAATAAATCTCATGACACCGAACAAAACATCAGGCCTTCTGGTGAAGGAAACAAAATAGAGAAGAAAGAAGATGGTAGGCAATCTGATGAAAGAAATCTAGATCAGGAAAGCCATGGAATAGATTATGTTATAGCTGATGTGGTAGTCGATAATAATTGTTATCTCATGACTGAATCAACAGAGATACCGCTGGTCCATAATTCTCAGGACAGTTCTAACACCAATAACGACCACACAAAGGCGGCAGATGGCACAACTGAAAACCGAGCAGTGACCAGAGCTAGTAGACAAAGCAGAAGAGGGAAAGGAAGAGCCTAGTTCTGAATGCCGTTTGTTCGAGTGGCGCGCCAATGTAACATTATTCGATAGCCTGTAAGTCCATAGTCTCTACTCCGTTTTTTAGTCTTGTTTGTACTCTGCTTGCTGCTATTAACCGAGTGAAACCAAGTTTGTGTTCGTTTTAGGTAGAGCATAGGTAGACTGTATTATTAAGCCAGTCCCTGTATTATGACTAATCTAGGGTTCGACTGACCGTCTGTAATTCACAATCATATTGTAGTTATACTATGTGATTGATGTGTTGTAACACCATTTATGAACATACTGACATGCGGTCGGGGTAAGAGGTTCAGCCTGGGTAAGGAACCGTTTATTGAACGCTAACCAGGTAAGCACTTATCAGGTCACTTACCTTGTTGGGTGAGAATGGTAAGAACCGAGAATCTTACCAGATAAATGAAGGTAAGGTGGTGACTGTTACCAACACTCCAGCTATGCTATTTTGATAGCCAAGAAATTTACCTAGCAACCACCTAGGTTGTGGAAGTGGCGCATTGGTGAAGGCTTAGAGGGATGTAGTGGAAATCTCAATATTCCCCAAGTCCGAATCCAGCACTGCCAAATCCCTTGTGGCTATGGAGGTTCACCTGTCATGGCTCCAGGCCATTTTTGGTCGATCAGGGGATTAGTCTGTTCGCATAAATTGACCTGTATACCCACAGTTTCCCCAAAAATATATCCAGTAAGGTAAGTGTTGATGACTTTTATCCGGTAAGTGCTTACTTGGTTAGCATTGGTGATGATGTCACGATACAATTTTGTGAAATCTTCATTTGGAACCAATATAATGTACAACATTATGATCATTTACAAACCCTACTCTTGATCCATTTTTATCAACTCCGTAAACTTCGGTCGGGTTTGGATCCATTGTTAAATACATTTCAATCAGATAAAATTTGTGATGTATGAATCTCTTTATTCGAATAACGTAATTGAAAACGACTGTACGTTATCTATTTCGGCAAATACAAATGTTACAACTCGTTAGGAATGTTGCATTATTGCTTAGACGAATTGCACGAAACGTTTATCCAAGAAGTTTGTGGCTACAGGTTTGGTCAAAGCTGCTTAACAAGAACCCAAGTCTTTTAACAAAACATCTTTCTGTAATGAATTGTTAATGGCTAAAAAGTAAATTCTTTTTTCTAGACCAATCACGATGGCACAAATCAACGTTTTTCGCATATGTGAAATGGCCAAATTGCCCTTTTAACGATAAGTTTGAACCTTCTCATGCATCTAGTCATGTGAAAGTTCGAAATGAGAACAATGCATAAAATCATAACGAGAAACTAACTTACAAAACGCTTCGATCTACTACTTAAAACTCATTTACATCTAGTTAGGTGCTTACATACCCTATCACTATTTAGCTTGAATGGTATTTGATTCATTTTTTCTCGAGGGTTGAATACTGGTACTGTAAGGAAAACCGTACGCACCAATATTCAACCCTCTAAAAGAACCCAAGAATTAATTGGTTGAAGATACAGATGAAGAAAGCCAAGAGGAACATAAATCACAAAACTTTCCTAGCTCACATTCACATCTCTATACACCATATATATATATATATATATATATATATATATATATATATATATACAACTATGCTATTGCTATTGCTATTGCTATTGTTATTGCTACATACATACATATATATACATACATATACATACATATATATATATACATACATACATAGAGGAGTGATCATATGAAAACCGCCCTCATTTGTGTAAACCGTGCAAACCTCCTTCATCTGTCGATTTCATTGTTTAATCTTATGAAATTTTTTCATGAAATTGTTTAATCTTGTGAAATTGTTTCATATAATACTTTTTTTGATGAAGTTGTTTCATATATGGTTGTGAAATTGTTTCATATAATACTTAATGAAACTGTTTCATGTATTTCTCTAACATTAATGAAACTGTTTCATGTATTTCTCTAAAATTAAAATAATGAAGATGATAATATCTATGATTAACACCCTCTACAATAAAAATGATTAATCAACCTCTCATAATTACAAAAAAATGAACAAAATGAAAAATTATGATTGTTTGAATGCGGTTTGCACGGTTTGTACAAATTGAGTGGTTTGCATTTGATCGCTCCCCTACATACATATATATATATATATTACATATATATATGTGTGTGTGTGTATATGTATGCATATATAACTACTACTCCACATACTGTTGAAGACATTGTTTTAAGTTTTGAAGATTAACAGGCTTTGTTATGAATGAATCCATACCATTCTGGAAGCACTCTTCTGCACTTTCCGACATTGCATTTGCAGTCATCTGCTCAACACCATCATCAAACCTTGGTCAGTTCCATTGATTTTGAAGGAAGGTCATTTTAGACATTTCACTCAAGACCAAGTATATATAAGATCATTTTGATGCAATGGGAGCTTTGATATGATATTGCATTCAAGATTAGTTATGCAAGTGTTACAAGAAGCAATGCTGTTTTCGGTATCTAAATTTGCGGTACTTACTGCAATGATCGGAATCCTCTTTCTGGGCTCTTGTAATATTCGATCATATGAAGGGAAATCAACTCCGGCCTTCCTTGCTTCATCCCAATTACCCGTTTTCTCAAATGAGCGAATAAGCCGTGTAGCTTCAAGTCCATCCATTAGGGGCATGCATACATCCTGCAAAATACAAACACTTTAATCGTATTCTTCCACTGGGATGTACGCAGAGATGTCTTCTGCCCCAAAGGGTAGAGCAGACTACAACAAGATCAGCTTTGTAGGACACCAAAACTGTCTATTAGGTTGTTTGGTTGGTTTTTCCATTAAATCATGTATGGATAAATTGTCTGTGTGGATTATTCTGGTGTATAGATTGGGAGGGTTTTTTCATAGACGAAACGAGCTTGTTTTTTTAATTGGAAGGGACATATATGGAAAAAACTTGGCGAAGTTTCCCTCTAGAAGCTCACTGAATAAGTCACTTTCTATATCATCAAACCACTACCAAACAGTCATGTGTAGTTGATTGAATAAGTTGTGAGCTCTATTAAGCTCATTAAGCTGCTAACAAACAAATGTCCTAATAGAGTGTTTTACAAGACTTAGTTTATAGACCAAACAAATGTGCATCTTATTTAAAGTGTTACAATAAGTTGATAGAATGTTTTTAGGCTAACTAACAAGTTTTAAGATACTTTTAATAAATAAAAGTCTTATTAATCTTTTTATATGACATCATATGAAAATTTGTCCTATAAAAATATATGTTCATAGGAAAGTTTTCTCACAGATGTCATGAAAAAGTGAATAAGACGTTTTATTTTAAACATGTCCTAAAAAACTTGTTATGACGCCAAAAAGCATCACATCAACTTATTGTAGCATTTTTGGATAGGAGACACGATTGTCTAGTCCTATAAAACAGCTATATTAGGACATTAGACATATTTGGCGTCTTATGAAGCCGATTTTGTTGTAATGACATGTTTTGAAACAAACCCGAAAAATGTTTACCATAAGAATGAGATCGTAAGAGCAACTCTGAACAGCACGAACGGCTTCAGCTCCGTTATTCACCACATCAATGTCTTGATTCAACTGCCTCATCATCCGTCGTGCCACCATCACATTCACCATATGATCTTCCACAAGAAGAATCTTCGGTTTCGTTGCTGATTTCAGAACTTCTTGCCTGTTGCTAGAACTAGAACTACACTCCGAGCTTCTATTCGAATCCTTTCTCGCTTCACAGGTTTCACACAAGTCTCCTCTATCATGGAACTGATGATCCGAAGGCGAACATGAATCAACGGCTAGATCAAGATCATCATGGCTCTCTTTCTCTTTCTTGATACAATTTGTGTTTTCATTCTCTGAGTTGCATTTTGAAGAACTTTCGGGTTCTGATGAGGTATCAAAACACGAAGAATCGTCATCATCCATTGAACTAACTATCTCTTTAGGAGTTACATTGATTCTATATTTATGTGTGATCACAGAACCATTAGAAGAGAATGTTGAGCCCAAAGCGCATGGCTGGAACTGGAAGAAGCCACAAGTTATATCGTCATCCTCGTTATCAGCCATATCTCCAAACTCATCGGTATCATCTGAACCATCGCATGCATGTGAAAGTTTATGAGGTAGAATGAACGTAAATGTTGACCCGCAATGTTCTTTGCTTGAAACAGTCAGATGGCCTCCCATGAGCTCAACCTGAGATCAATCAGCCACAACCATTCAGTTTCTTGATTGCTTGGATGGTTTACTTGCACAAAACAATCCAATCTAGAAAACACATTACAGAAGAAACTGGTCTTTTGGGACGCCCAACCAACCAAAAATCGAAGGTGTTACAATAAGTTGTTAGGATGAAATTAGGCAACGTAACTGTAACATCTCAAACTAACCGTACCAGTTATTGTTCTCTTTGTCCACACATGAACTCATGGTTTTAAAACGTGTCTGATAGAGGAGGTATCCCAATTCCTTATAAGGCAACCTTTGTTCCCCTCCCTAACCGATTTGGGATCTTACAATCTACCCCACCCCCTTGGGAACCTAGCATCCTTCACACCAGTCAGGTTCCTGCCTCTAATACCATCTGTAACATCCCACACTAACCGTACTAGATATTGTCCGCTTCGTCCACACTTGGACTCACGATTTTAACATGTATCTGATAGAGGAGGTATTCAGTTCCTTATAAGACAACCTTTGTTTCCATCCCCAATCGATGTGGGACGTTACACTAACAATTTTTATCGAGGAAGTTGTACAACCTGATATGACACAAAAAGTAGACCATTATATTAACCTTTTATTGGTCAATTTACTTTTTGTGTCATATTTGGTTGTCTAGCTCGTAGATGAAACTTGTTGGATCATCTAACTTTATCCTAACAACTTACTGTATCGTCTTTAGATAGGATGCAGGTTTTTGATACTATAAACTTAAAGTCCCATTAAGCTAATAAGACTAATGCGTCTTAAAAGAACCATTTTGTTGTAGTAACATTACCAGCTGTTTGCAGATTGCTAAACCTAATCCAGTTCCACCATATTTCCGAGCTGTATCTGCACCGGCCTGCATGTATTTCTTGAATAAATTTGGCAACGCGATTTCTGTGATACCATAGTGATCAAGATATTATAATACAATCAGCTAGAAAAGTTGCAAAAGATGAGAAAAATAGGAACTTGAAAGGTACCCGGTATTCCTATGCCTGTATCTTTAACATCACAACGGATCCACACCACAGTCTCATGCGATTGAGGTTCATTCTCCTCGTGTACATCTAACAAGACTCCGTTTTTGGTTGAAACTGATGAATCATCCATGTTTATCTTGGGTTCTTGGTGGCCTTCAGGATATGGGTCTGCTATTACATAAAGATTTATCTGAACCTTCCCTTCATGGGTAAACTTGATAGCATTGCTGCACAAAAGTTACTTCTTTAGAGTCAATTACTACACCATTTTCACAGAGAGAATGAGCATTTTATAGAGCTTTTGAGCTGTGGTAGTAATACCTGATCAGGTTCGTGAGGATTTGTCGGATCCGCAGAACGTCGCCAATAACCTGAAATTGAATTATGATGATGTTAATAAAAAAAATTCCATTTCTAGTTACACAAATCCTTGTTTGCCAAATGTTGAACAAAAAGATTGTCAACCCGTGTTTGGGTATCTAAATTAAAACGAGCCGATTATATCCCACATAGAGGTAGAGTACACGGAGTAGGATGGTATACAGTAAAAGCAGGAAAAACTATGGTTGTATCTTGTTAGAGTCTCTAACAGGCTAGACTTGGACCATTTCTCTTCTATATGTTGGAACCTTCGTCCTATCCTCAAGGGCTAACATCCTAGGGATTCGACACTCTACGACAATCTTTACTCGTCTAGCCCCCTCTCGACACTCGGGGGAATTTGTGTCTGTCTACCCTCTGTTTTAGGGGGCGTGTTAGAGTCTCATATGGCTAGATTTTGGGACCATTTCTCTTCTGTATACGTTGGAAGTTGGAACCTCCATTCTCTTCTTAAGTGCTCTTTTGGAGAGTAATCTGGTGTGCCACATATTCGCACATGGTATTAGAGCTAAGGTCTAATACTCTAGGGACTCGGCCCTCTACGACAATTTGTACTCGTCTAGCTCTCTCTTGACACTTGGGGGACAACATGTGCCGTATAGCCTCCGTTTGAGGGGCGTGTTAGAGTCCATATCGGATAAACTTGACCATTTCTCCTCTATATACGTTGGAAGTTGGAACCTCCATTCTCTTTATAATGGCTCTTTCAGAGAGTAATCTAAAAAGGTTCTACATATTCTTACACAAAGGTAGGGTATAGGGGATAGGATGGTGTACAGTAAAAGCAGGAAAAACTAAGGTTGTATCCGGCAAATTTTAGCAATATGTATCAATATATTAGAGATCTAACCTCCACCGGGACATCATCTGCTACATGTCCTTCCAAAATTAGCATTCGTTTGAGCGATGCTGCAGCAGTTTGAAGAACATGCTTGATTACTTCTCTAGGCCTAAATTTTGTAGCCTCCAGTTTCATAACTCCTGAAAACAACCCCGTAAACGTTAAAGGTTTGCAGATCCCAGATGCATAAATCCTTAATTCATACCCTTTCTTTAAGGAAACAGGAAGGCAAGTATAATATAGGAATTATCAATTAAGGAGGACTGAAAATTAACCTGACTCAACTTTGGAAAGATCGAGGATGTCATTAATAAGTTGAAGAACTAGATCACCCGATGACAACATGACCCTCAAGAGTTGTTTCTGATCCTTATCGAGTTTTGTTTTGGAGAGAATCTCTGTCATGCTAACGACCCCAGATAATGGAGACCTTATCTCATGTGACATTGTTGCTAGCATTTGCTTTGCTCTCATTGTTTCCTCTGCAAGAAGTTTAATTATTGGGTAAAATGTTGAAAACTCCTTTTGGAAAGAAAAAAGATCCATTTTTAAAGAGTTCGAGTAAAGAAAGCTTACCAACCTGTAATATGAATAGTTTTGTTAAGTTCTGTCTCCTTTGCCTTCTGAACTGCTATTTCTTCCCGGAGTTTTGCCATCTTTTCTCTCTTTTTCACCTGTTACACGATCAGGCACGTGGAATTGTTACTATTTGAACACATAATTCATCAATGAAGATGAACTTAACTACATAATTCATCAATGAAGATGAACTTAACTACATAATCCATCAATGAAGATGAACCTAACTTTTGGATTGATGCATGAATAGATGTGGTCTCACCTGATCAGTCATTTCCATGCCCATATAATTTACTCCAATAGTCTCTCCATCTTTGCTGAACACAGGTTCAACATATATCAAGAATGTTTTGGCTCCAAATAATTGGGTCTCAAAAGTGATTTCTCTCTTTGCTGGTAATCCTCTTTCAAGAACTTCTCTTTTGAAGTCTTGGGATTCCTTTACACCCCCACCTTTGAATATCTCTGTGTCTGTTTTTCCAATGATATCCTGCCCATCAAAAATCAGGAAAAAAAAGTTGAAGAGAAATATATGGTTCAAAAATCCATGAACTATGCTATTGAAGTATCAGTATTTGAAATAAATATATAATAACCGTAGTCAACTTGGTGATCAATTTACCTCCTCTCCTAAACTTGGAAAATGATTGTAGATGAAGCGATATCGCAGGTCTTTATCCTGAGGATCAAATAACAATATCACTCATTAAGTTTAAATGCAAGATGGTAAGGATACACAAGATATGACAGTCGATTAATTGGTCTAACTCATGAAAACAAGTCGTTCTACTTTTTGGGGTAGAAATTAGGTCTCATACATCACACCCTCCAAACTCTACTTTTAAGAGAGACATAATGGGTGTGTTCGGTTTGGTTTGGTCTACTCAGGGACTGTTTACTAGTGTTGGCCGCCTCTTACTGGCTAAGAGGTGCTTACCTGGTAAGGAAGGGATGTTGTTTACCAACATCCCCTGACCCACAAATATGCTGACCCAATAAGGAAGGGGTTGCTTTCTGACTTGGTCAGTGCCTCAGTCAGTGAACCATTTTCAGTCAGCGCTTACCAAGACCGAATCTCTTACTCAGACTACACTCTTAGGGGCTGTGTGGTTGGTTTTCCATTAGGTCTTAAACGGATTAATCTGTCTGTATAGATTGAGAAGGTTTTCGTTTTGGAAGATTTCTTAATATATGGAAGGAGCGTGTTCGATAACTAGGAGAGGCAGTGGAAAAAACTTGGCTTTTTGCATAAAGCTCCCCCTATCTTATTGAATAAGTCATTTTCTATATCATTAAGCCACTACTCAACAGTCATATATAGTTGACCAAATAAGTTGCAAGTCTCATGAAGCTCATTAAGCTGCCAACAAACAGGCCCTTACTCGGTTAGAGTTTATCCAATTGTTAATGCTTTGATTTTGCCTTTAAGTTCTTGATTACAAGGCAATGATCATTACAAGGTGGGACCAAAAATGAACATGGTGCAAAACTTCAAAACAAGAAAACAAAAGAGGGCTTATTGTGAATTCAAATTACCTGATGACCAATAACAACTGGTGCATTTTGAAGAACAAAATGTAAGAAGTTATCAGCTCTTTTCAAGATCTGGGAAAGTTCTTCCACTGGTGAAGCCTGTTTTTCAAGATTTTCAATGCTTTCCTCCAACTTCTCTAGGAGTATCTGCTCTCGTTGAACGCTTGCTTCCAACAATTTTTCCAAATGCAAGGCCCGTTGCTTCCAATATATAACTGTATCATACTCTGCATTTATTTCTAACCGTTTATCTTCAATAATAACATCGGTTTTTCTCTTGGGAACATCTTGAAATGCTTCATAAACTTCATCCAAAACAGAAACCGGACGTTTATCGCCCCCATAACTTTCCTCTTCAAAACGATGCTGTTCCAATATCTCTAATTTCTTGAGCTCAACTTCATGTTGTTGTTTGCTCAAATTGTCAAGCTCTTCCCTTAGAAGTCTCACGGCATTTTCCTGTTTATATTCCCAGTTTTTTACAAGATAAGACAACTGGGAAGACCCTTTTTCACTGTAACTTGTGAGCTCTACTAAACGTTTGAAATCAACTATACTCGGCTCTTCAATGAAGGCCAGATCTTCTAACATATCTTGATGGACTCCTGGCTTTTCCACATTGAATTTCTTTCCAGCTTCATCAATGTCTTCAGGCCACATGGAAGAGAGGACTTCAACCTCCATATCTTCAACATGATCATAGTCAACTTCGTGCACCATTATAGAACACCCAAAAGATTCAAAAACCAGTTTCTTGATCAGATTCCCTTTAGTGAACAGGTGATTTTGAGCATTAGTGAGAGCTACTTAGCTGATTGTTTCTGCAAATCAAGATTTATGAAATCATGGTCAATAGAAGTTTATCAAATATTTTCAACATATATGAAACATTTATGCTGTAAAGTCACCATAATAAACTCAGAATGCCATATTTTCAATTTCAGAGTCTTTTGGTTCACCATCAAAATTCACAAATTTTAAGGAAAATTATGAACCCTTGAATAAAAAATATGCACAAATGCCAAGAGAAAAATCTAAAGAGAACAAAAGGGTAAAAATATAATTCAAGAAACCTGATACCAATATATATATATATAGATATATATATATATATATATATACTGACCATTGACATGATTCCCAAATTTTGAGTTCTCTCTCACATGAAGCAACAAGATAGTTTGAATATTGCTCAAAATTCTGCAAATATGACGCAAACCCACAAAATTTACTGATAAAATTGGGCAAAAATCTTGTTAGAAAACCCCAAATTGGGCAAAATCCATCTGAGCACCGAATTCAATTCATATCGTCATCTTCTGCAAACCCCTTTTCACTATAGATCTGGAAAGTATCTCAGAAGTGGTCAGTCAATGAATAAACAAAACATTTCAGCTAATTCAATTAATCATAGAGAAAGAGAGGAGAGACAAGCCATGTGAGGTGCAAAAGAAAAACAATTGTAGGAGAGAAAGAGAAGAGAAGAAGCTCAAAAGGCCATGTGCAATTGACAACAATTTATATATATATAGTAATACAGTGACACACATAACTGAATTGAATGTGAGGTTTTTTATATTGTCAGACATTTTATATTGAAGAATCTCTCACAGACACTGATACAAACATATATATATATATATATATGTATGTATGTATAGATTCATGATTTAGGGAGAGAGCACCCACATTCTGCTGCAAATTCATTCTGGAAATGGATGGAAATAGTGAACTGTTGATGGGGTTTTGTTTTGGTCACTTTTCCTGAATGTACTCCATCAATCAAAATGCAAAAAAAAATTCCATTGGAGTATAAAATAATGGAAAAACACAGAGAGAAAGAAGGTGGTCTTAAATAAGAGCTGAGCTGTGGCGAGCCGAGCCGAGCCAAGGGGGGGTTTTTAAAATTGGCAGGCAAACAGGCTGTTCCCCGCCACCTTCCGAGGTTAACGCATATCCAGGGCGCGTTGGGATCCACGCGCTCAGTTGGAGGCTGCCCCGTTATTTGGCTCCCTTGTTATCAGGCACTTTAATCTCAACCAATAACTGCTTTTCGCCATTCCCTCCCTCCTCCTTGGGTTCATAAATTTCCACAAATTTTATTTCATAACTAATTTAATCAAAAAAAATATCTTCAATAGATTTTCTGTTCTAGAGAACAATTAGAAGGGTATTCGTACAATACAACAAGTAACATCTCGATTTTAATGTTATATTTTATTTTTTGTTTCTATCGATGTTATAATACGATTTTATGTGTTTTAAATAAAATAATAATAATTTTATTTTTGAATAAAATATAAATTTAAAGATATCATAAAAATTTGAAAAAAATATATCAATGTTAATATCAAATCAACTATTTAAAAGTTCTCATTTTTATTTTAATTATAATTTAATTTAGATTTCATAATAAAATAATTTATTTTTGGTTTAATAATATAACATTTTATAAAAATAATAATTAATTATTTTGTTAGAATTCAATTATTATCCTAATTTTATTTTAGTTTTTTATATATTTAAAATGAAATGTTTATCTTGTATTTGATTATGTTTATCTGCAGTTAGTTACACGAATTCAGATATGAAACTATAATAAGTTATACTTACGGACAATCTACTTGTAATCTTGAGTTTTAAGTAACATGCATTAATAAACAATATTTTATGCATAAAAATTGTTTTAAGAGTTTTTGTCAAATGCTTTATAATATAGTATAGATATAAAGAATTTGTTGGAGTAAAACAAAGAACAAAACCTCCATTCTCTCTGTTTTAGAGAATCTGTTAGAAATGTTTTAACAATATCAGATAAGAAGATTTATAAATCATTTACCAAATGCTAACGGGTACGAGTCTTCCATTTCATTTACTAGCTAAGTTTCTCAATCCTTGTTATGTTTTTTACTGGATAATATTTTCAGTCCTCACTATGCCCATCCGATAAAGTAACACTCTATTAGCACTAAGAGCATCTCCAACAGTTATTTTATTTTTTTTCTATTTAAAGGTATAGCTGTTATAGCAAACTTTTCTCAAATCTTTAAAAATTAAAATGGTATAATTGTTGGAGATGCTCTAACCCAATAAACGTTTAATAAACAACCTGTTATTCGTTACAGATAATTTTTTTAAAAATTGATTAATATAAGAATATTTTTGGTATATAAAGAAAGAGGACATGATTGAGCCCGAATTGATATTGGATGAGACAAATTGATAGGCTTTATCCAACAAAAAAAAGGTTAAAAATATAATATTATTTAGTAAAAAAACAAATTTACTCTTCTTTTTATTTTCTACATAAATATCACAGTACATGTTTATATATTTATATGGAATAAAAAATTATGCATCTATATATCTATATATAATATAAAATTTCATAAAGATAAATAATATTCAAATAAATTATGTATAAATATATTTTTGATAAAGTTATATAAACATTACTAGATATATATAATATATTTATTTATAATTATCATATGGGGAAAAACATTAAATAATGGCACAATTATACCTTTGATATGAGAAAGGATTCATAGAGTAACATTTAGGTGATGTTTGTTTTTCGAGGTATTGAAGTATGAAGTTTTATTTTATTTTTGATTAATAAGAGGTGGTGTTGAAGTCTGAAACCTAAATCAATAAGACTGTTTGTTTATGTAAACTGACAAACGTCTGAAATCTGAATCAATAGTTTGTTTTTTGTAAATCAGGTGCAAAATTTTTGCAAAGTTATCTTGATTTTTATGAATTTTTTTTTGCCGCAATTCATCTCGATAATTGCTTAACAGATGGAAACAGTAAGAACCTTTTGTATACCTTTCAAACTTCTGATGCTATCGGGAATGCCAGCGGTGAGTTTGTTTGTGGAAAGATCGATACTTTTGATAGAGGATATATCGTCACTAGAAGTTCTTGTTTCACATTAATATTCTAAGGTAACCTATACGTTATATATATACATATACATATATATATATATATATAGAGAGAGAGAGAGAGAGAGAGAGAATGTGGGGGCGTGCATTTCATATAGGTAATGAAATGATAGTAGCGTCCGTGGTGGAGAAATAATGAATAGCCAAATATATTCAAAGAAAATGACAAATAAAAGGAATTAAAATATTAGTTTACATATTGTTTATTTAGACCCTATTAAGTGATAAGAGGTTCTGAAAATAAAATAAAAACAGTCTGGATTACAAAACGTCTGAGCGAATCATACATAAGTGGTAATTAAGAGCTGCAAATGAAAAAACAAACAAGACTATAGAATATCTTCAGCAACTATATTATTTTAGAAAAAAAATTAAATACATGATTTGTAAAGTAAAAAAGTTTGCTCTAATAGTTATGTTAACCCCGTTTGAGACTTTGGATTTTTGGAGTTCTGAATATTATAACTTTGGACTCGTTTGGTTATCGATCGTGTTGTTAGTTGTTTTTGCATAATCAAGTTTACAAGATTGCTATATTAGTACAATATCTTTACCAACTTGTATCACTGAACAAAACTTGGAAGCCAATTAAGTTGTATACAATAAAATTGGTCAGTACTTGTAGAAATTTCTCGGTACCAATTACAAGTTTGTTGGTATATGGTATGAAGGGGAAAACATAATACCATATAATGTTCACTCATAATAAGTGGTGGAAGTAGACAATAGAACAGCTACTAGAAGCTCGACAAAGAGGCATGAGTCTCACTCGGGCAGGAATCCCAAAGGGCAAGAACGAAGGTTGTTTGATCCGATCAACCATGTAAGACATAGTGTGCTGTGCTAGTGTGCATAAGAGGTGGAATAAAATGACCCTGTTGAAACGTAATGATCAATACGTCTGTAAATGCAGAAAACCAATTCATAATGCAAACAAGATAAAAGGAAGGGTGCCCACTTTACAGTACTAACATCATGAAATGGAATAATCAAGAATCCTAAGTAAACCAGCAAGAAAATTCCCTCTTTTGATGTCATGCGATTTTGCAAGTTTAGAAACCACACAAAAAGTCATTTTTACAGCTTGGTTCATGTAAGCCTTTCTTTTTATTAAAAAAAAAATGCTTGATTGGTCTGCTCAGCAAACATACAATGTTGGTTGCTGTTTAAGAATCCAGCACAAGCTGACTTCCAAATTATACCCAGTTATAAAGCCTTAACGGCAAAAAGATAGCTTCCTAAGTAGGTAGGCTAGGGGAGATGCTCGAACCGGAGATGAATAGGTCCATGCCCATTTTTCATAGTATACATAATAAAGCCATGAGCAGTGGATGTTGGAAATCCTGGGTACGTTTAAAACCGATTTTAAAAAACAACATAAAATAATGCTCAGCGGAAAAACAAAACTATGTAAAAGTATTTTCAAAAGCAATGATCAAATTAAGAAAAAAATAGATCAACCAAAAGAAAAACTAAAACCATCAAGATTCGATTTTTACCTCTTAAATCAATAAAGAGTTCTTTTTTTTAACCTGGATATCTAACCCGATATGCGAGCCGACTAATCTCAGGATGACCACCTGTTTTGCAGATAGCCCGGAGTCACTGCATTTGAACCTCCGTGTCCACAAGGGGATTTTTATTTCTCGTTGGATTTGAACCTGGGACCTCCAGGTACTTTTGACCCTTGGAGCCAAGCTCAAACCAATCAGACACCACCCTTGTGGTTAAAGTAGAACACCTCTACGAGTATTCACACGAGCAACATCAATCGAATGCTAGTCCATCTTCAATCAAAACAAACTCTTTTTGATTTCTTGGAGAAGAAATCGGTCAAGAGGAGGAGGGGAGGGATGATCTAGTTCTTTAATACAACAAATTAGAGTAACAGTCTAATCCTCCCTTCTTTTGATCCAGTTCTTTGAATCAAGATTTTCATTTAAAATTGGTTCTTGGTTTAATTTAATTCGGTTCAAAATCAAAATCAGATCATTTAAGAAAATTGAAATGATTTTGTTTTAGTTTCCAAATCATAGTCATCAATCAAGAACACTATTGTCTTTAAACCCAAAGCTTGTAGATTGTACAAAATAAATCAGTTGTTTTTCAAAAATCAAAACCATTTTTGAAAAGCCTTAATCATATTCGACGAAGATGTCGTATTTCAAGTCAGCAGAAACCCAAAACATGTGTATGGTTAACTTCGTGGTCCTCTAAGTTTCAGTATTTGACCAGCTTTCTTCCACGATTTGCTCGATGAATTTTGAGACAATTTACGGATTTTTTTTTTGACAAACGATGAAATGTTAGTTCGCAAGAAGGTTGTAGATTAGTGTTGCGAACTTGAATCAAGGTGCTTTCAGTACGTCAATGGGACGATATTAAGACAAAATTGGACAAGCGAGAATGAGGTAGTTAGATGAATGAATTCTGATTTTTATGTATTAGAACGAGAATCAAATGATCATAAGGGCGTGATTTTTATGTATTAGAACGAGAATCAAATGATCGTTTGATTATTAGTGGTAAAATCCGTCAAAAATGCAATACAACTTGGTTAAGTTTTTACTTATTAAAGTTTTTTTTTTATTAACCTGGATATCCAACCCACTATGGGAGCCGGCTAATCCTAGGGCGACCACCTGCTTTTGCAGATAGCCTGGAGTCACCGCATTTGAACCTCCGTAGCAACAAGGGGATTTTTATTCCTCCTTGGATTTAAACCTGAGACCTCGTGGTACTTTTGACATTTGGAGCCAAGCTCAAACCAATCAGACACCACTCTTGTGGTTATTTATTAAAGGGTTACGATGAAGGAGACGGTAAACTTGGCATCCACCTTATTAAACGTCATCAAGATTATAAAGATTACCAGTTCTAACGAGTAAAAATATGAAATTTCATTAAATTGATTGATAAAAAATAATTTCATACACCAAAAATAGAAATTAAAACAAAATTTGATTCAATTTGATTGCATTTTACACTAAAAATTATCAGTAATTATCCATTTATTTAGGATCATTAAACAATTAAAAGTAAATACTGAATGGTGTAAAAACTCTGTGTAAATTAACCATTCCAATTTCTTCGGAAAAAAAATACAGATGTTCACCTATATATAAACTATGCAAAGCATCCTGATTCTTTGTCTCCTCAACGATTCTTCTTCCGACGCGACAACTTCCATCGACATTCTTCTGAAAAAGGTAATGCGAATCTCTACGTATACGTTATACGATGATCGGTTGACTTTTTAAACACTGTATTTGTATTATTTAATTGTAAAGAGACTGTTAACGGAAAAAGTATATAATATTTATATACAACATGAAGCGTATGTTTGCAAGACTTGACTTTCTGGATGGTTGGGATTTTCTTGCTGGCAGTGACCCTTTCACATGTTCTAATTGGGTTGTTTTGTTTTAAATACAGGTTCTTTAATATCTGGTCTTTTATCTGAATTATGTCGACAAAAGGAAGGGACGGTGGCATGACGGAGAAAAGAGGGAGGTCTCCTTCGTTGCCTTTTGGGCAACGAAAGAGTAGCCCGACCCCTTCAATTTTAGACAGAAAGAAGGGTTCGACTTCAATAGAAACTAAGAAAGTTTCTAGTTCAAATCTGAAAAAACAACCTTCGGACAATAACAAACCTCCGAGAAGCTTACCACCTTCCAAAGTTACATCCACGAGATCAAAACCTAACCAAAAAAACGTTACGAGACCGTCGACGAAAATAACCGGTTCAACGAAACCGAAGGATGTCGGAAAATCCCGTCCACCTCTTAGGCCGAAGAACGTTATGAATGTTAAGGAAAATACGAACGCTAGCAGTAAGAAGCAAACGAAAAAGGGTTTAGAAAACAATGTCGTGGTTTCCGAGCAAAATCGAATCATTTCTGATGCTCCCCCGTCATCCAAAGAGGATCACAACATCGTAACTCACGAAGACAACAACAAAACCGTCCCGGTTTTTGATAACGTTCAAATGTCGGATTGCAGTAAGCAACTTCTGGAGGATGAGAACGATGATATTTTGAATAATGTCGTGGAGATCGAAACACCTCTTCCTGATCCTATTGCTTTATCCGGAAATCAAGACATGCCCGAATCTGAAATACGTTACCGAGATAATGTAACGATTGATGGAAGTGTCGATCAAGAACATACGAATGATCACGACAACGAGATCAACGTTCAAGATCAAGTAAACGAGACTTCAGAAATTGCTAGCGATCGCCTTCTTGTTCCTGATCATCCTAAAGTCGTAGATCAGGAAAATGAAGGACTAGAAATTGAACGAGTGGTGCAAGATCCATTCATTGGATCAAAATATGTCGAACAAGTAGAATCTAACGACCAAGATCACAAAGAAACCCCACAAAAAGAACCAGAATACAAAAAACCGGATCCAGAAGAACCAGAACATGGAGAAACGGATCTAAAAGAACCAGAACCAGAAGAATCCGATTCAAAAGAACCACAAGAGGTAGAAACTAAAGTACCAGAAGAACCAGAACATCAAGAAACCGAGGTACGAGAAGAACCAGAACATCAAGAAACCGAGGTACNAGAAGAACCAGAACATCAAGAAACCGAGGTACGAGAAGAACCAGAACATCAAGAAACCGAGGTACCAGAAGAACCAGAATATCAAGAAACCGAATTACCAGAAGAACCAGAAAACAAAGAAACCGAATTACCAGAAGAACCAGAAAACAAAGAAACCGAATTACCAGAAGAACCGGAAAATAAAGAAACCGAATTACCAGAAGAACCCGAAAACAAAGAAACCGAAGTGCCAGAAGACCCAGAAAAGAAAGAAACCGAATTACCAGAAGAACCAGAAAACAAAGAAACCGAATTACCAGAAGAACCAGAAAACAAAGAAACCGAATTACCAGAAGAACCAGAAAACAAAGAAACCGAATTACCAGAAGAACCGGAAGCCAAAGAAACCGAATTACCAGAAGAACCCGAAAACAAAGAAACCGAAGTGCCAGAAGAACCAGAAAACAAAGAAACTGAATTACCAGAAGAACCAGAAAACAAAGAAACCCAAGTGCCTGAAGAACTGAACCAAGAAGAAACCCAAGTACCAGAAGAACCAGATCACGAAGAAACCGAACCAAGAGAACCAGAACATCAAGAAACCGAACCAAAAGAACAGCTAGAAACCAAAGAACAAGAAGAAACCATAGAACCAGAAGAACCAAAACAGCAAGAAACCGAACAAAAAGAATCAGAAAACGAAAAAACCGAAGCGAAAGAAGCAGAAATGAAAGAGGGTGGTACAAAGGAAGGAAATCTGGGGTCAAAAATGGTGGTGAAGAAGCAAGAAGTTGTGGCTTATGGGAAGAAGGAGACGGCAACTGCATACAATGATGTGATCGAGGAGACAGTAAGTAAGCTCCGAAGGCAAAGGAAGAACAGGGTGAAAGCATTAGTTGGTGCATTCGAAACTGTTATTTCACTCGAGTCTTACGAATGCTGATTACTTACTTCACATCATAAATGTTCAAAAACATATTCATCAATAACATTGTATGATTTATTAACCTTTTTATGCTTTCATCTAACCAATATATATATATGGGCACGTTCAAATGAAAACCGTACATTTCTAAGAAATCGTGTAAACCAATTTCGACCAATAGGAAAATTTCATTTTTTTCTAATTAAAATTAATCAATAAGGGTATTTCAGTCATTTATAATATTTTTTATTAAATATGGAAGTTATTAATAAATCTTAATTAATGAAACATAATAAAGGAAATTGTATAAATGGTAACATTTAAATATTTAATTATATTATAATATTAAAAATTTGAATTTCATATATTGTAATCTTTAAGAATCAGCAAACGGGTCTTGATGAAACAATTGAAGTGTATAATGAAAACATCAAATCGTAGATGAACAAAAAAAAATCCAGAAATAAAACAGGTTTCATGAACGTGAAACTGGTTCATGTTGCAAATAAATTATGTGAACCGAAACATTTTCATGGTGAACCCGTTGCATTGATTGTGTAGTTGATCCATTTAGTTGGTGAAGAGGAAAATGAAACCGGTGCATTTTGTATTTGATGCGTCATGAACTAAGTGCATGATGAAACGAGGAAATGATTTTAATCTGCTACAGAATCTTGAAGATTGTAAGGCTTAAATGAATAAATCCATCAAATCAGTGATAAAATAAGAAAATTACTGTACATGAAATAGGTTTCATGAAAGTGAAACTGGTTCATGGCGTTCTTGAGCATGATTAGTGAAACGGTTGCATAATGTATTTGGTTCGTCATGAAATAGTTGAATAATGAAACGGGTACATGAAGAAACTGCTCCAGAATCTTGAAAATTGTAATATGCTTTAGAATCTTTAAGATTGCAAGGCTTAAAGGAATTAATGCATCAAACTAGAAACGAAAAAAAGAAAATAATTTTGCATGAAAAAAAATTCATGAAAGTAAACTAATCTTGAAAGAAAATAATTTTGCATGAAAAAAGATTCATGAAAAAAACTAATCTTGAAAGAAAATAATTTTGCATGAAAAAAGATTCATGAAAGATCGAATAGGATGTTACCAAATATTAAATTTTGTTTACCATTTATGCCCTTACTGTTGAAATAAAAT